CGATAGATAAGTCATACGACTTGGAGAAATGAGATTCGAAATAAGAATAATAAATGATCTGGCAGATATAGCTGGGTTCGAATGATTGGAGGATCATTTTAATCGGGAAGTGGGCATCAGCATTGAACCATGAAATGATGATGATCCAAACACCAACGAAGGAGTTGACGCACCAACAGCGAGATTTTTCCACCAGCCATCACCCAGCGGAGTTGGGGTTGCCATGTTCTTTCAGTGGGTCAGAACTAGTCAAGTAAACCTGGAGGATGAAATTGATGGAAAGGTTGAGTGAACTTCCAAATTGGAGATGTAAGCAGTAGATACAACGAATGCGAATGTAACCAAAGCTACTGCAAGAAGAATCAGAAGAATAAGAGATGTCCAAAACACCAAGGATTGGATGCGTCAAGAAGGGGAACAATAATGTGAACCCAACCAAGAACGATCCTCAAGGTCAACAGCGGTCACCAGGGCTTCGAACCTCTGCATTGGCTCTGTTCATTTTCTTGAAAACGACCTGGAGCCACGGAAAAATATGGAAAATATAGTGTATACCCAACATATGGAAAAATATATGGAAAATATAGTGTATACCCACTTGGAAAAATATGTTGGGTATACACTATATACACTATATATATATAATATGGAAAAATCACTGAAATTTTCAAGTCCGGACCCTCCGGACGACTGCCTCAGCCTGATGTGGCTGCACGCCCAACAGGGAGAAGGACCTCGAGGAATCGGTGGATGCTCCATCATCATCCCATCACGAATCACTGATATGAAGATATTAACCATGGATATGATATTGAACAGAGAATTTGGGCTCTTAAATCTGATGAACACTCCTGATCACTGTTCAGCACCTTTTCACTCAGTTAGCTCGAAGGTAGCTAAAAGCACTAAAATGGCTAAAATGGCTGCAGCACATATACAAACATATGTACTACATGTAACATGGTCTATACTGTACACATATCTGATCACGCCTCCCGAGCCTGTTCGGAGGCACGGTGAGTCCAAGTGTTTTGAACTAGGCGAGTTTTGATATGTACAGCGGAGCATAGCCACGACTCAAGCCATCTATGCCTTCAGTGTCAGGTGATGTTCACCTTCCAGAAAGTGAAAGTTCATATTCCGCAGTGCCTTGTTCATTTTCTCCTCTATGACAGGTTTCGTCAAGACGTCGGCAAGCATATCGCCAGTGTCGACCTTCTTCAGCCGAAAGTAGCGCTTGGCCACGCGGTCTTGTACCCAGTGGTATTGAGTATCCACGTGCTTGGCCTTGCCTAATCCTCTACGTGAACCCATTGCTATTCCTGCACTTGCATCCATGAAAACTTCACTCTCAGGTTGCAAACCCCAGTCTTTGGCGGTTGAAACTTCTCCCAGCAAATTGCTGGCACCGCTCACAAGAGCATAATACTCACTCTCTCCAGACGAAAGACTAACAACTCCTTGTCCTGTAGAATAAGTCTTGATACAACAACCACCGGCCATCAAGACGCCTCCTGACACGCTCTTCCTCGTCTTCACGCATCCAGCGTGGTCAGCGTCAGACCACATCACAAAAGGACTGAGCTTGCTCTGATGAGGAAAGAATTGTGCCATGCGTGGTCGATACCTAAGGTATCGTGCAACTCTTTTGAGCATAAGCATGTGGCTGGTAGTTGGTCGTTGTAGCCCTTGTGCTAAAGATCTTGTTGCTACTTGCAGATCTGGTCGGTCTTGTGCCAAATAAGCTGCTCGCATTGCAACTGATCTATACTGGGTTGCTTCTTCATCGTTGAGAAAAACAGTGGCATCCTTAAGATCTTCCACTGATCCTTTGGCAAGTGGTGTCTTGACTTTGGCTCCTCGGGGACCATCTCCGAGTAAATCAATCACCAACTCTGCGTGCCGTGCATCTGGTTCCCACCAAATTCCATTCTCCTTCCATGTGATAATTCTGTTCAGGACTCTGATGTCCTGGATGGTGTTTGGTGTTCCTGGTGGTCCTAAAATACCACGTTCCACACATTTCCACTTCTTTGACAGCTCTTCATGAAGCCATTTGATGTTGTCAAATGTTCCGGCTGTTGTAAAATCATCTCCATGTACAACAGTTCTGAGGTCTCGGCCTGCATGGTAGTATATGCATGGATTGCTTTTTCCTTGCTTGAAACCTAAGGCCAACATGACCTTCTGTATTTGCAACTCCCAGTTGAGAGGTGCATCTCTGGTTCCATACAATGATTTGAGCAATCTTCCTACCACATCTTCTCCAGGCTTCTTTGCTTCTGCAGGAAGTTCCACGTAGATCTCGCGCGTCGCATCTGAATAAAAGTGAGCGCGATTCACATCCAAAAATCCTAGAAGTCTACGCTTGCGATAGGCTTCCTTGACAGCTTTTCCAGCGTCTGGCAACTGAAACGTGACGGCTATTGTAACTAGCATCTTCAAAGCAGACAAACTGGGCATGGCTGCGAAGAACTCATCAAAACCTGAGCCCTTCTTGACTTCTTGAGCTACTAACCTACTTCTATAAAGTGGATTCTCCTCATCCTGCTTGTTGACATCTACCCATCGTGTTCCAATGGTGCGTACCCCTTTGGGCATCTTGTGTCTGGGAATCTTTTCCCAAACCGGAAAACTTTCAATAATTTCGACCTCATCTTTTCTGGCTTGTTCTACACCTTTGCTGTCCAAAATCTTTCCACTGATATCATCATAATAATACCATGTAGCTGCTTCATCTTCCAACTCCGGTGGAAGAGGAATTGTTTCTTCGCAAACTGGCTCTTCTTCCACCTTCAATGGACTGAAGATACCTCTCCCGATCTTCCATGATCAGGTTCATAAGACATTGGTCTATATCATCCATGTCATCTGGTCTCTCATTCTCAGGTGGCCGTTTGGTGCCCTTAGACGCCTGAGCTGAAGCAGCTCGGCTGTCTTTGGCTTTTGACGTCTCGCCTCCTGAGTCTGCAGGTCTCTTCTGACCTTTGGTTGGTGACATCTCCAACCTCTTGTGTGATCTTTCTTCTTGCTCGCCTCCTGCTCTCTTGGCTGAGGCTGAGCTTGCACTATCTCCTACTGCAACTGGAGTAGGATCTTGTACTACTGGTCTCTGCATTGGACCGGCCGTAGAGGCTTGTACTACATCAGGTCCAGTAGTTGGCAAACTTGGCGCTGATTCCCCTGTGGCAGAATACCACAGCTCGGTAACGATATCTGTGTCATCAATCAACGGTGCGTTGATGACGTCTTCTCCTAAGTTAGGATCAATTGGTTCAGACTTGATCATGTCTCCTGTCTTGAACTCTCTGGTGACTCTCCACCAGACGTTATCCCAACTGGGACCTTCTGGCATAGTACCCTTGAGATACCTTGCATTCCTGTCAAGGCGCGCAAACACCTTGAAACCTTGAGGGACTCCTTGTGGTCTCTCACTTGAATATCCATACAGGATCTTTGTGCCTTCTTCGGACACTTCTTGTTTCTGACCAGTGATTTCAGAATCAACCTTGGCCGTATGTTGGGCTACTCTCAGGTTGCCCTCTTCTGCTTGAAGCAGACGTTCCATCCTTTCTCTGCAAGCAGGAGTGTGATGAACTCCAGTGGCATCACAGGCGACACAACCAGCGGTGTAGCCATACTTGTCCAAATCACGTTTGGTGATGTAAAGTCGTCTTGTTGACTTCTTTGGTGACTCAACTGGCACTGATGGCGCCAGTGGCTGCTGATCTCCCTCAACAATCTGAGGAAGCAAAATGTCATCTCTTTTTGATGCCTGGGGATCCCAAGGAACCCCAGTGACTGACATCAACGTTTCGACATCATATCTGTCGTCAGCACTCTTGCGTCGAATGCTTTGCACAGTGAAAACACCTGATGCATTCCCCACTATCTTTTCAGTGGTATTGTCTTTGACTCCCAAGAAAACTCCTTGGTGCCATCTTTGTTCAAACTTGTGACCTCTTTTGAGGAATTCAATTGTTTCCCCAAATGGTGGTAATGACACTCTCCACTCACGACCACGGTGTCTCGAGTACGGTGTCTTCCCATCTTTGACTTCCAAAGATCTGTGAAACAAATTGTAAGTGGTGCTAGCATGTTCAACCAACCATGTCAAAACTGGGTGGTCGTCTGGCACCTTTCTTCCATAGCTTGTCTCCAAGGCACTTCTGAGTGTCCTGGATTGAGATTCAATAGCTTGAACTGCTCTTTCAATTTCCCCTTTGGATTCTGAGACCCCTTTGGGAACTTTTTCCAAAACCAACTGTTTGTCAAAACCATTCTTGGCTGCCTCAACTACGGAGTTGAGTGCCGGCTCTGGGTCATATCTCATGACCATCTTGGGGTACCCAAACTTCTTAAGGTCATTCAAAAGACACTTAGACCCAATAGGACCTTGGGTAACTCCCTTGTATGGCAAAACGTGTGCGTAGGTCAGCTTGGACCATCGATCGTGTACTATCAAAACTGGTGCATGCTTTTTCTGCACTTCCTCTGTGATGACGGTGTCATCCACTGAATTCATGAAACAATAGTCAGCTGAGATCACAGGAACTGTTTCATCTGAATGATCTACTTTGACATGTCTCATTGCCTTTGCTTTACCTCGAATGCAATGTTCACACCAACTCCTAAAAGGATAATGGCTGACAAAATGCTCTTCTTTTTCTCTCTGCGTCGGCGCTGCTGCAGTTGGTAGTGCTTGAGAACCTAGCTTACTACTGCCCGGTTCATCATCTCCACTACCTGCGCTCTCTGTGGTTTCCACAGGACTTACGCCTTCAACCCTTCTGTGGGCTGCCCATGAAAATCCATGGCTACTTTGAAGACTCCTCCAGTCATTGTGATTGGTACCTTCTTGGCTCCCCTTTGCAGGAACTATCCTTTGGGGCCGAAGGTCACTGTCCAGCCTTTCTCAACCAGCTTGGACACAGATAGCAATGGCTTTGCCACATCCATTGCCCGGAACTGTCCCACACCTTTGACTTGTGGGCCTCCTGGACTGGTTGTCCTGATGCATTGGTAAACGGCTTCTCATCCACAGGCGTCATAGCCAACTCCAAAGACTGTGCCATCTCCTTGGGTAGGCAACTGGTTGCAGCCCCTGAGTCAACGGTGGCCCAAACAATGGTATCCACCGGAGATGCCAAACTTCCCAGGAAGTCGAGGTTGGAGTCTGATCGAACTCCTCCTCCTGGTGAATGCTCCCTGAGCTTGGGAGAAGGTGACTTCTCCTTCTTCTTCCTGGCCTTTCTTTCCACAAAGTTGGCAGCTTCACGCACTGCCTTTTCCAAGAATCTCTTGGCACCTGTGCTGAGCATCCCCTTGCCCTTGGACGCCTGGGCTGAATCAGCCCGGCTGTCCTGAGGCGCTCTCGATGGGGATATGGACTTCAGCTCAATGGGTGCCCTGCTGGATGACTTGTCGTCCTCCTTCTCTGATCTCTCCTTCTCTTTCTCCTCTGGCCTCTTGGGGATCTTCTTCACTTCAGGCTTCAAATCATCTTTACCCTGGTGCCTGAAGCGCTCATAGTGCTCCTCAAGATGCTGCTTGCGCTTCTTCTTCTCTTCATCCTTGGCGATCTCTTGGCGCTTTTTCTCATCTTTGGCCTCTGCATCATCCATGGGGCGCTTCTTGGATGCCTCTCCTTCAGCCTTTGCTTCTCTTTCAGCCTTTGCTTGAAAGTGTTCTTTCTTCCAAAACTCCAGGGCGTGTTGAGGATAGCAATTCTTGCTCTCCACATGTTGCCAAAAGCTTGCAAGACTCATGGAGTTCAGTGCTTTTCCACAATGCCTGGCACTTCACATAGGGATGTCCTTTGTTGGACACAGTTTTGGACTTCTCGTGCAACTCCTTGAATGACATGAGCTCTCGAGAGGAAGTCTCCCAATGACGATCTACATCTTCCATGCCTGGTGCAGGTTCCTGATTGAATGGTACATCGTCTGATTCGACCTCTTCCGATGATCCTAGGTCGAGAACTTCACCATAAGCCTTCTCATAGGCCTCCTTCAAGACATTGTCTAACTTGCTGAGAACTTCAGGATCTTTCTGCAGCTTCTCAAGTCTGTTTGCAAATTCACACTCATCAGTGGTTTCTTCAGAGGAAATCTCGAACTTGTCATGAATCCATTGTGGGATTCCTTCTTTGCTCATCTCCTTCATCTTGTCCTCGTTGGCCTTCTTTCTAGCTTCATCTGCTCTTCGTCTTTCAGACCTGTGATGTCCTCCTCTATGGCGCTTGGGTTCCAACTTTCTTGCCTTGGGAGGTTCAGGAAGATCTCCAATGTCCTCCTGCTCCCACTTGTCAGGTTTGGCTTGCCCATGGGTTGCCAGCTCATAGTTCTTGAAGCTAGCTGTTCTCTCTTGAGCAGTGGCTGCTCGATGACTAGCAGCTCTCTTCCTACTCTTTTCTGCTTTCTTGGCAGCTCTTACATGTACTCCAGCATCTAGGTCGGCTTGCAACCGACGAGAGGGTGCAGCCGGTGCTGAAGCGGCACGGCCTTCTGCCCTCACTTTGGCCATTGCCTCTTTGGCCTCTTTCTGATGCTGGGCTGCCTCTTTCTTCAACTTGTCCAAGGTTTCTTGGCGTTCCTTAAGGGCCTGATTTGCTTGGAGCCCTTTGTCCTGAGCATCTTTGACAGCGCTCTCAGCCTGAGCAATCATCTTACTGAAAAGCTCCTTGTTGGACCCAGAAGCTGATGCCAAAGCGCTTTGAGCCATAACCATAGCGCTCCTGGTCACAGTGCTCCTTGAGGGTGCTTGGAGTGTAGCTCTCCTTGGACTTCTACCACGACGAGGTGATTCCTCTTGAGCTTCGGACTTAGGCGGCATAGCGTCTTCCAAGGTGAACAGCGCTGTGAGTTCAGGTTCAGGTTGATCACCAGTGGCAGTTGCTGCAGGTTGCTCTTGAGCCCAAGTATCAGACTCAACATTGGCAACTTTGCGACCTTTACCTTGATCACCTTTACCTTTACCTTTGTCTTGACCTTTCTTGCCTTTTCCTTTGCTCTTGGAGTCATTGGTATTCTGTTTATACCAAGACTGCTGATTCCAAGACTGATTGTTCCAAGAACCCTTGTTGTATGAATTGTTTGACCAAGACGAAGACTGACTCTTTCCTTTGTCTTTACCTTTGGACTTACCTTTGCCTTTCCCTTTGTCATGTTTTCCTTTTCCCTTACCCTTAGCAAGGGAATCCACATCCATGGGAACGGCTCCTGATTTTGCCTCTTTCCTGGTCTCGACATTCTCGAGATAGGCCAAAACTTCAGCTTTCACCTGGTCATATGTGGTCAATCTCGAAGCCTGCAAGTCCAGATGATCTTGCAGCTTGTTGGGACACATTTGCTGCAGACAACTCCTGCAGATGTCGTCTTCAAGTGGTTTCTTCCTCCTGTCTTCATACTTTCTTTTCAAGTTCTCCCAACTCTCAAGCCCTTCTCGAAGCTTATCAAGACTGCATTGACTTGGATGCAGAACCTTTTTCAACAAGGCTGAATTAGCTTGAGGATTTTGAGGATCATATTTGCACAACAGTCGTCTCATGGCTTCTAGGCCAAAGTGGCTACCACGAGATGTGTTCTTGACAATTTCCAACGCTTCTCCCTCAGTCAATGATATGAGGGCTTGTCTAGCCTGAGCTGAAACAAGCTCGGCACCTTCATCAAAGTCTACTTCTAGACCTGACTCAGTGATCTCTTTGTCACACTGAGATTCAACTTGTGCCACAATCTTCACAGCATTCTTGTGGCAACTTTCAACCCAAGTCTTAAACTTGTACCACCAACTATCCCAAGTGCCTGATGCTCCAGTGAACTTATCAGGTTTTGGTATGCCTTTCAACTCTGATCTGTCTTTGTATTCAACAGATCTCTCAACATTTCTGTTGATCTGAAGCTGCTGGTTCATAGCCTCGGTCATTGCCTGATTCAACTGCGCCTGACCCTGAGTCAATTGGGCCATCATCTGCATAACCATCTGGGACATGTTGGGACCGTTGGTCTGTCCTTGTGCTGGTGCTGGTGGAGTGCCTGGTTGCTGAGGTGGCTGCTGTTGCTGAGCCATCCTTAGTCGTTCTTCAGGTGCTTTGAGACCTGATTCAAGAGAACCCTTGGGTACCTTTGGAGATGCACTCCAAGGTTATGGAAGTATCTTTGGATTTTCCTGATTTTCAGGAGCTTGAGTGTCAACCTTTTCCAGTTGGCACGAGGTGAGCGCGCCAGAGCAGAACCAGCTCGGCGTCGACACCTACACATTCACAGCTGGGTATCAGAACCTCAGCTCCGCTACCATGAACAGAGAATTTGGGCTCTTAAATCTGATGAACACTCCTGATCACTGTTCAGCACCTTTTCACTCAGTTAGCTCGAAGGTAGCTAAAAGCACTAAAATGGCTAAAATGGCTGCAGCACATATACAAACATATGTACTACATGTAACATGGTCTATACTGTACACATATCTGATCAGATATAAACATGTATATATATATATATACAATTAGTATCATTATTATTATTAGTAGTAGTATTATTATTATTGTATATAAACCATTTTTACCAGCGATTTCTTTACTGTATCCCTAAAAGTCTGGAGCAGTCTGGAGCAACGGCTAAGGAAGCAACCTTTGCACCCATGGTTTCCGTAGAGCATTTCGAAACTCGTCCAAACCTGGGCGACTTCGGTGGACCCCCACTGTCTTCACTGTCTTCATGAGTCGAAGCAAATGTAGCTCTACATTTGGTAAAATAGTTGATGGATATAGTCTTGGGCACCTCCAGTTCAGAAATAGTCATCCACTCTAACTGCTCAAATTCCTGTCGTCGTGGATTCAAAGTTGGTTAAATTTTATGCATCAATGCCCGACTGCCCATTTCCGTTGGTGTAAAATCCCCACCCCCTCCACTTCATCCACAGCCCTTTTCAAAAATGACGCTCAGCGACTCATTTCCCCCGAACGGTCCGCATCGGCTTCGAGGAAGAGATTCTGGCAACCGGGGAAGGTGAAGAAACGCTTACACTCTGGGAATTTGTGCCACTTTGCTATGGAAACCATGGCCCAGAAAATAAAGATACCTATTAAAAATGGTGATGTTGCATAGCAAACTGTTAAATCACTGTATAGTAGGCGCAAATGACACGGGACTTGGCGGCCGATTTAGCCTTGTCTTTTTTTGCATATGACATGGGATTTATGTATCAACTTAGGGATTTTTTTCAAACACATGACATGGGAGTTATGCGCTTGCATAACGGGCAGGGATGTTCCCATTTTTTGACACATGACATGGGAAAAATTGAGAAGAATCTTGGGACTTCCAAGAAAAACATCCGCAAACCCTTTTTTTCTCCCACATCGAACCCTGCTTTGAATTGTTCTCAAGAGTGGGGTGGGGAGGGTTTGGGGGCTCAAAATGAAGCATGGGGAGGGGTTTGGGCTGCCCATGCGTCCCAAGAATGGGGTGGAAAGGGTGTAGGATGTAAACGAACCATGAAAAAGAGGTTTGGGTGTTTCATGGTTTCCAAGAGTGGGGCGGGGAGGGTTTGGGAAGGCTCAAATTTCGTCTTCGTGTAATGTGTCTTCGGAATTCGTCTTCGTCTGGTGGAAAAGTGATGCCCACACAGCAACCACAATGAAAACTTAGGCTTTGAAACTGCAGATGTTTTTTTACATGTAAAAACATCATCCCCAATATATGAAATGTCCACTATTTCCTCATGGGAAAATCATCCTCTGATCCAACTGGTTTCTCCTCTAAGCGCCGGAAGTTTCTGAGCTCGGCGATTTCTCGGTAGGCAACCTGGCGCAACGGGCTCTGGAAGCCACGAAAGTTCCTCCACCACTCGTTTCTGTGGTGAAAATGTCCAATAACTTGGATGATAACTTTGCGTCCTCCATTGACAAATGATCTCAGGAAAGCCTTCAACCCGCCTCGAAAGGTTTATGAAAAGCACCTGGGATCAGAGCCAAAATTGAGCATCCAGAAGGTTCTTTCACAGGTCTTCAAATTCTCGTCGGAAACATCATGGAAAATCAGTTTAAACCTGAACCACTGAAGAACCTGTTGTTTTTCCCTGTTTCCACCCATCTGCTGAGTATCTCAACTACCAGAAACACTGTCTTTTCAACATGCTTTTCCTGTTTGGTGTTCCGAAGCGGCTTTGTCATATCTTTTCCAGCATCATCAGCATCATCATCATCATCATCTAGAGCCGTGGATATTCACATCCCAATGTGTGGCCCCTACGGCCATTGGTTTTCACGCTTCCGCGACCAAGACGAGGTCTGCACAGGTCCTGAAAGAGAAGCCACGCCGAAGCTGGGGATGCGGTCATGTCTACATGGGGATGTAGGCCAGGGGTTAGTCTTATGGGTATAACTATGGGATTCTAACCTCCATAAGTTGGGATATAATATAAGCCCTACAACTATCTATATCTCTATATATATATATATACATAGTTATAGATATATATATATATTGGTGAGCAATTTGGTGAAGCATCCAATTTTCCAGTGAACCATCTTCACTCCTTGGAAAAACACATCTGGGGATCCACCCTCACCCCTCTTCTAAGCCACCGAAAACCATACCGAAACTCCCCGACCTCCAGCCGGATTCCTCGCTTTGTCACAACCTCGATGAGTTTCCACGGAGGGCTAAACATGTGTCGGAGTTGCGGGTTCAAGAAGACTCTACACATGTGTACTACATATGTATAATATGTATAACATAATATTGCTCTATACATATATATATATATATATGATTATATATGTATATATATATACATATATATATACATATGTATATATATTTTTTTATTACAAATATATGTATATATACAATTATATATATCATTATATATATATAATTATATATATAATTACTTACATGCAATTATGTGTATATATATATGTACATGTAATATGTTGATTTGGTTGTTTCATAACTACATATATAACCGGTTTCAGCTCAGCGTCCAGCCTTTCCAGCCTGCGGAAGGCTACCCAGCGACCCCAAGGACGCAGCTTTGCCCAATCTGGCGTCAGATGGGGATGCCAATGGTCCCAGAAATGCTGGGTTTACACTCTTACCAAAAATAGGGATTCGACTTTTCTGGATTCAACAATGTCCTTTTGTCATCATTTGTCCACTTAACCTATCTATTAATCAGACAATTGGAAAAGGGACATCTACGGAGTCCACGAATACAGAAACACTGAGAAACATCTCATCTGGAGATGCAAGTTCCAAAAATGGGACATTTCCCAACCCATCCAGGGGAAAGTTGAGATGTGCCTAGGCCGCTCCATAGCTCCGCCGCTATTTGGAAGCGAAAACAGCACCGGAAATGGTGAGCACCGGAAAACAGGGCAGGTAGAAGTGTTGAACACTGCCACACCACATCCAAAGACGCAAGGGTGGAAAATCGGGTGGAAAATCGGGTGGAAAATAGAGCATCAATGGAACTGGAAGACCTGAAACATCTGCAAAGCACAGCCAATGAGAGAAGTCGCAACTTCTGCACACTTGGCTGTGCTCCGAATTCGCGGCACTTTTGATGTCAGACAGCGAAGCCAAACTTATGTCTTAAATGAAGAGCTCATAGCACGCAGCCGAGATTGACTGAGACCATTGGACTCATTGGTCAATGAGTCATAACCAATAGACCTTGGACTGATATCACCTTCACAATGGTCTATCCTTCACAATGTCCAATATTGACCAATATCAACCTTCACAATGACCTGTGAGTTTCTCAGGGCCGCGTTCCGTATGCAGCTCCTCTCCTGATCTTCACCCGCCTTTAGCGAGATCAGAAGAGCTTTGGTCGATTTGTTGTGGGATATCCCCGAGTCCAGCACAATCACAAAAATCATCACAAAATGAGGAGTGACTTCAATTTTGAACCACTCTTCACAATCAATCAACTCCTTTTTTGCGGGGAATCGCCAAAAGAACAACTTGAAATAACTGCCAGAAAAGCGACAAGGCGAATTTTTTGCACGCCTGGCAGCACTGTCGGATAAAGAAATGCATCCGACGCCTAAGACTCGCCACGGGATCAAAATCATGCAGCACTCATGGCATCTTCTGCGTATCATCCCAGGAATGAAGAAATATGAAGAATGCAGGCAAAAAACAAAGACATGTCTGATATCATGTCACTCTGTCATTGTGAAAGGGGACATGTTGCACAGCACAGCACCCAGCTGAGCACTGCAAGTCGTCACAATCTACGAGTATCGTGTCGTATCGTGTCGTATCAATCGTCAAAACGCCTGCAGAGCGATGCTCATAAGTTGCCAGGTGCAACTTGAACTCGACCCAGGGCCCCAGGGCAAAAGAAAACATGTTCCGCAAGGGCAACAGCTGAGAATTGTTGCAGGGAAGTCTACAGTAAACATCACAAAACCTCTATATATATATGTTTAGTAACCACCAAAAAAGGATAGAATTGTAATTAACTGACCACTATTTTGGCTGGTTTGTACTTGTCCATTTTGTTTCGGGGATAAAAGAAACATCGAAAATAAGCCCTGATCCACAAAAATATCTGCCCACACCTTTGTCCGCAACGCCAAGCTTGAAGCTCCTGCTCCTGCTCCTGCCGAATGGTATGTCCCATATGGAATAGTCCCTCACTCCTTCATAGAATGAAATATCCCCAATAAAGCACCCAAAAATGAATAGACCCAATACTAAATGGTCTTCAGTACTAGCATTTTGGGAAAGGGATTAATCTTACCGATCTTTTTGAATACATGTCTTCTTAGTGGGTTTCCCATCGCGTAACGACAGCAGTACAGCAATGGGTGGCAATTTGCTTCCCAGGTGGACTGATTGCTTCCCCTCGAAATGTCTCCTGCAAGCGCATCTCCAAATCGCAAATCACCTGACAGCGGATCTTTGGGCAGAATCCATGTCCAGGATTGTCCAGGTGTTTTTACCACAGTTACGAGGTTTTCAGTACCCTGAGTACCCTGTACTTCTATTGGGATCAGAAAAGTCAAGTCCAAAGGATCTAAAAGAGACAGGCATGGCCTTACGAAGCACCCGGGCTTCTGCATCTTGCCCACTTCCGTAGAGCCCATAGAGGCTGAAGTTGCTTCGGTCCTCGGACAGGGGAGTGATGGGAGTGACTGGTTATTGGGGATTGTTACGGAATGGGATGATGATCATGATCTCCTGGTGTGATTCCATGTGATTCCTGCAGCAAAATTGTTTATTGCTATCCCATAATAATATGATTTGTATCTATTAGTATTCTACAATAGTATAGCAAAATTAGTGATTCCAATAGCATATTTTCTCATTAGATTAGTATGATTAGTAGAATGCCAATATGAAGAAAAACTATGATCCAATTGGTACACTCTGTAGCTCCAACTGGCTCCGATTTGGATAACATCCAAGGTCCGAAGCGATCCCTCCTAATCACTGAACACTCATTCCATAGTAACCCAAAAAGATCCCCAAAACTAGTACAAAAAGTATTTTCCAGGATTGAAAAGTGAAAATGTTTCCTCAGGAAAAAACCTAGGCGTCCAACTTTTTGGCAAATATTTGGAGTGATTCTAAGTTTAAATGAATAGAGACTCACCAGTTTTCGGATGTTCAATGAGATTTTACAAGAATTTTTAGATCTGACACCACCAAAAACAAGTACCCAGATGTCACCAGTTGAAAAGATCAGAAAAGTGAGGTATTTCGCAAGTTCACCTGAAAAATAAAACCTCCAAAGGGATTTACGTGGATTTAACCTCTCAATTCTTGGAATTCACCTTGGTTTCCCAACAAAAGTCGGTGGAACATGTCGTCTTCGGCCCTGAGTTTGCGGCAGAGGCCTTCTCACTACGCACCGTCATGACGACTTCCTGCTGTGATGCGGCTGTTTCAATCCTCGGAGCCCAACGGGATTTCACCAACTGTGGAAGGTTGGTAGATGGTTTATATAAACCCTTTTGTATATCCCGGATTATATATCCCCTCCTAATCCCAGATTATGATTGGGATACAAAATTAATCCCGGATTGTTTGATAGTAATCCAACAAAGGTTGGGGATGGCTTGTCCACAGGATCTTGGCAACGGCATGGATGTATAGTGAATATATATATATATACATACCATCTGGTTATTTAACATAGCCATGGAAAATCACCATTTTTAATAGGTAAACCATCTATAAATGGGCCATGTTCCATGGCTATGTTACATAACCAGAGGGTATATATATATAGCTTATATACACAACCAACAAATGTGATATGGCATTTCTCATGGATCTCGTTGTCGTCTCTGAGGTCTAGAAAAGGATCCAGAAATGCTGGTTTCACCAAGAACCGCGGTTATCAGGGCGAACCTTAATCAGCCATGGCTGTCATGAGGAAAACTGCAGTGTGTCGAACACCCACGGCCAAAGAAAATCCTCTGGTGTGTCCCTGAAAGAGTTTTGGACACATATGGCGACCAACAGTTCCACAACTTGTTAAGTCATAAAAATTAGACTGTGGATGACTCTGGGGGTGCCAAACTTCTTGCAAGCACTTTTTGGAATAGATATGAATATGAATCATTCACAAACTTTATTGACTTAAGTCATTTGGGATCATTCACGTGACATAATCTTCCTTAGTAATTCATCACTCTCAGCATGAAGCAACCAGACCTTGTGCCCTGCCAAGCAACGAACCAATCCGGTCCCAGTTCTCGTAAGCATCCAGAAAACTCTCCTCACTGCTCACGCTGGGACTGCCTGAGTGAACCACAAAGATGGCCTTGTTGTCGGACTTGTCCCAGCAGTAACTTTGCTGTGACTTGTCGTGGCAAAGTATATTTAGATATATTTAGAATACATATTTATGGATATTGATCGTCCAAATTTGAAAAACATCACGAAGCATGTTCGGAGAGACGAAAATGTCACATGCTTCAGAGTTGGACGCACCGACTCTTTGGTTCAGCAATTTTTATTCCAAGTTGCGCGATTGAATTGGACTTGGAATAAATGGGCCTGGCGGGGAAAAATGGGAAAAGAAACACCACGGGCCAGCTGCCTGTTTGGAAAAAGGGTCACAAAAAACCGTGTCTGCTCTCGAAGCCGCCTGCTGGGCGGGGCGTACACATTGAAAAGACTTCCTAGGATCAAGTTGGTGCACCGCACGGAGCTGGAATCTTTTGATTCTTTTGGATGAAGTATTTCAGACAAGCTGCCTTCCTTGGCATAGCTGCGGCGCCTGTTCTGGGTGTAATCAATGGATGTCCCTCTGGTGGTGCTGGCCACGGCGGTAATTCCATGATGGTCCCTGGCCACAGCACACCATCGCGCTGGCTGCGCTGGCTGCGCTGACTATGCTGGCCAGTGGACCTTCGGACTAAGTTCAAGGGCAGCTTTGGAATGGAAAATGACGAGTCTCTAGGAACTCCACTCTTCGGACACTTCGTCTCATTAACCTCACTGGTGCTCGGGCCGTCCACACAAAATATTCACGTACGAAACTCAATTTTGTGTGACCCTAATCTTTCCAAACGCAGTGGGAAAATGAAGAAAAATCTCTGAAAAGCACCAACCAGCAACAGCAACTCCAGTCGTTTCAAGCTGGGTGGTCTCTGCCACTGGAAAAGCCACTGATTTTGTTCCCTCACCTGGAGATGGAGAACTCACACCGAGTTCTTCGCAACTGGCGAAGCTTGTGCCACTGGCAGATCGATCTGGATCCATTTTGGTCGAAGCTTTGTCGTCCAATCCGTGGTTTTCTGATTTTCCACTTTGTCGTCCACTCATGTCCGTCCTCGCCGTCGTCTCCTTGAAGGGGCTGTCAACTCCGGCATCATTCATATCTTTCACTAGGCGACCTTCACCGGGTACAGCTAGAAGTTGCCGTGCTTGATGGGAGAACTTCTGGGCAGGCACTTCAACACTGCGTTCACCTGCACTGGACATCTGGAATCATCTGGAATGTGACATCGAGAAATTATGGTCTCTTAAAAATGAGGGATCCCAATATCATGGGTTTCAATACTGAAATTGACTAAAATCGTCTAATGACTTGGATGATTTGGAGTACCCCGTTGACTTAGACAACCCTCCGAATGGTGTCAACATGCCCTCAAAATCCAACGATGCCCTGCTGACCTGTCCATGTTCGGGTGTGGTCAGACAGAATGGTCTACTCTTCAACAGGAAGAAGTAAACTGCAAATATATATATATTATACATACCAAAAGAATGAACATGAGCTGCAACATTGACTAATTGTGACTTTGTGTTTCACCTCTCCGCACCTGCACATTGAACTGTGACTCTAACAAAGCTGCGCTCGGCTGCCAGCCAGTTCTCTTCTTGCGACCTGAAAAAAATGGACCCATTTCCCAAAACAGAGCAATGTCAAAACTACCCTCTGGTAAACTAACATAGCTATTGAAAATGGCCATTTATAGTGGATTTTCCCATTAAAAATGGTGATTTTCCATAGCTATGTTAGTTTACCAGAGGGTATATCCCATGATATATCCCAAGAAATCGAAAAAGTCTTTGGAATTCCACCTCAGTATTGTCCCCACATTAATCGGTCCCAGCGACATCCAGGGCTTCTTCTCCCAGTTCACATAGGCGCGACGCTGGGTCTCATCAAAGGCACGACGAAGGAGACCCTCACCAGTCCCTCCTGCGCTAACCCGTGGAATTCATGGGTTCAACCAACAATAATGGTGTGTCTGTATATACATATATACAATTATATACATATACTGCGTATATATGTCTATATATGAGAGAGAGAGAGGTGTGTGTGTGTATATATATATGATGTGAATTTTAATGGAAATTTAACTCGTGAAAAATGGGACGAATGGCGGATTTCCTCAACAATACTGAGATAGAACATAGGTATATATTGGAATATTGTTTTGAATTTAATGGGTAATAGCCAACATTATTGTGGAGTCCCTGGTCATCTCATGAATAGAAATTCCATGAAACTCTCCAATGAATGAACAGACGATTATCTCATTCGGTACAATGATGAGAAATGAGGGGATGACCATGCATCCCCGGCAATTCAGAAAATAAACCATGTAACTTGACGCAGAAATGAATCAAGGGTGAAAAAAACCACTGGAAATCAGCACCCAGAAGTTGCTGAGCGCCCTGTCCTTCCGTAAGAAGTGACAAAAAGCGTGGTGACAAACTCACACGGCTTTGCGGGCTCTCTGGCCGCAAATGCCTTGAGTAGGGAAGAAATTTGCGGAAATCTCACATACATGTGTACTTATACTATCTATATATATATATACATACGTATATATATATATATACATACGTATATATATATACGTACCTATATAGAAGTATGTATACAAGTATGTATATAAGTAGTATCTATGAGTGTATATGTATATATATATATATACACATATTACACATACATGTATATATATATATACGTAGTAGTATCCCCTAAAGGATAGAAAAGTACTTTACCACTATCTTAGTTGGGATTTTGTTTTTCTATCTTTTTTGGGTTTGCCATATATTCATGTGTGTGTGTGCGTTACATTATGCTACTGGGACGACCAACGCTGACCGGTGTTCAAACATCTCTTATCCACATAAGTTTGCCCAAAAAAGATATATATATATATATACGTAATCATAAGATACATTATTCAATATGATATACATTGATATACTATGATACTTTCCTGACCACAAGAATCATTTTACCAATTTAAAACCCAGGAATTAGCTATGAAAAAACTGCCATAGATGGCTGTTTTTGTGGCAACTCCCCCATGGCTGCCACATCCCATCCGTCCCATCCCCACCTGTCCGCCATGTCCACGCAACTCGTTCTCCCCACGTGGCCGTCAGCAAAAAACTCGAGCCACCGAGAAGAGAATTTGGATGTCAAGCGGATTCCAAAAGGATTTCACAGTGCTGAGTAAATTATCATACTTCTCTGACCTCTGGAGTGTTACCCCCAATCCTCCCATCATTCCGCTAAAGAACCAGTCTTTTAGCTCTGAACTGCTCCGGGTGATGTTGCAGAGCTATGCTCTGCACCACGGTCACCGACGGTCCAGCTCCACAGCAGGCTCCAACACGGCTGGAAATGTCTGGTTGCTCTGGTGATGGCGGCATACCATGCATACCCTATAGATCCCTTTTTCGTATTTTCCATGATGATCGTAAAGTACATCACAATCTGAAAATATAGGGATACCAAAATATCAAAATCTGGAAACCATTTTCCCGAATGCGGAGCGAAGGGTTCCCGTTTAACTGTGGGGGTCTGGGGGCCGGGGGTGTGTCTTGTTCTTTTCAAAGAAACCCTAATATGTTGCTTTCCATGATCGTTGGACAGCCCACGGAGGTCCATCCCTACAGAACGACGCCTGTTTCACGACAGAAACGACAGCTCGCCAGTCTAATTTGGGGGGGTCGTCATGGACTATCAATCATTGATATGATCCATATGATCCATGTTGTTTGTAAAGAAATGTTGACTTTCAATATCTTTCAATATCTTTCAATGACGAAATTGAAGGTCACATAAAACCATAAGTTGCAATTATGCAAGTTTAATCAAGTTTAGCTCACTTTGGGACTTTTGGAAATATTGATTTCAACATAAAGAAGATACTTTACACATTTTGAACTGCTCCAGTTAGACACAGAATCCACGCCCTCAGCCCTCACTCTACGCCCATCAGACCGGATCCAGTTCAGACCTGGGATAAAGGGTCACCCAGCAAACTTGATGGCGCCATGGGAAAGTCGCAAAAACAATGGCAGTCCGGTTGAAGTAATGATGGTTAGTGATGGTTAACGACGGTTACCTTGATTTAGATCATCACCCATTGCCATTTCTGTCTCTGATTCTCCATGTTCTATTTCTGATTGCCATACTTGTTTTTTTGTTAGAACACATGGTCTTCGCGAACACTTGACAGCAGCATTCTGAGGAGCTCACGAAACCGAGCGAACTCATTTTGGAACCTGGTCAACTTGCAGAGACACCTCAAGAATTAGAAAAACATTTTTATCACTGTCCTCATCTGCTTGGTTTATGGATTCCTGAGTTGGGTGTCCTGATAAAATTTAACTATTTTTTTTAATACTCAAAATGGGCAATCCGGCCTGTCCATATGTTGCTTCAAGAGTCCTAAATTCTGACCCATACTCCGGCTGCCAATGGCACAGCACCAGCCTGCTCCATGTCCTGAATCAGTTGAAAAAACGCTGAATCCAGTGGCAACATTTCGAAATCACTGAAAGTTAGACATAGTGTTTAAATGTGTTTAATGAACATTGAACTAACAGAACATGCACAACTCTGCGCCCTGTGGTCCTGCCATTTGTTCAACATGATCTTTTGACCTCAAAGCGCTGCCCGACTAGCCCAAGAGCCACAAGGGGGTTATATGCTGTAGCTTGAAGTGCCTTTTGGATTCGCCCAGCCGAAATCGTTTAAACCCCTCATGTTTGAACTTGATTCAAGAAGTTTGGGTGTGTGAGAATATAGGGCGTACCCACAAAAAGGGGGAGTTTCAATGGGAAAATGCTGGTTTCCAGAGATCCAGAGTTCCAGTGTGTCGTGGCTCCGTTGCTATTCTTGGGCTCAGCTTCGAAACGATGCACTCCCCCGTTTTAAAGGCTGAAACAGTTCACTGGGATTTTGGGGGTAATGTGGGTAAAACAATATCATAAATATCATTATTAACCATCATTAACCATCATTCACCATCATTAACCATCATTCACCATCATTAACCATCAGTTAAAAATTCTGTAAAGTATCTTCTTTATGTTGAATATTTAATATTTACCATATTTTACCATCATTGAATCATTGACCACAATTGGTTTACCCAAATTCGCCGCCAGACAAACCCAGGCGGCTCCGCCGAGCTCCTGGGCCTCTGACAGCAGAGCAGCGCCTCGCGTCGCACCTCACGAGACTTCTGCTCTGGAGCTGCCATGAGCTCC